GAAAGAAGAGGAAGAAGAAAAGAAAAGGGGGAAAAAGGAGATCGGGGGGGGGGGGGCGAAAGGGCCCTGCCTCCCAGGCTGTTGACCCCCCCCCCCCCTCCCCCCAATCAAAAAAATAAGAGAGAAGGAAGGAAAGGGAAAGAAAAAAGGAAAAGAGGAGATACTGGCGTACCGATGGGGGGGGGGGGGGGCTTGGGGGAAATCAAATTCAAACGTGGTTTATTTCTAATTCCACAACGGTGGATTACAAATAATGCTGATATGACATAATTTCCGAGATTTTTCCTCACTTTTTAGTAAATTATACGTTTGTATGTGTTTGTTGGAAAATGACAAATTCCTAAATTTACAGCCAGGCAAGAAATATGATTCTTGAGATTCCTACATGTCAGTGCCCGAGGTACGGCGGGGATCGGGAGCACCGAGCTCCCCCCCCCCCCCCCCCCCCCCCACTTTTTTGAAAAAGTATATTAAAGAGAAATAATATAGAATGAGAGCAAGAATGAAAGAATAGTTAACTGCCAGTGTTAAAAAATAATGAGGCATCAAAATATGCCCATCTGACCGTGATTAATGCCTAAAACCCCTAAGCCTCCGGGGGCTCTGCCCCCTGGATTCCACCTAGGGCCCTACGGCGGGCCCTTAGATGATCATCTGACGGTAATTTAATGCCTCAAACCCCTGATTTTTGGCGGCTCCGCCCCCTGGATCCCACGCCAAATAGTGACCTGCCAGTGTCACAAAATAATAAGGTATACAAAAAAAATGCTCATCTGACCTTAATTAAACGCCTAAAACCCCTGAGCTTCCAGTGCCGGCTCCGCCGCCTCGACCCCACCAGGGGCCCTAAGACGGGCCCCTGAATGCTTATCTGACCGCTTGCGGGGTTAGACAAGGTATCAAAATGTGTTTATCTGACCGCAGACGCGTAGCCAGGGGGGGGGGGGAGGGGGGGGCGGTCCCCCAAATCGGAAGAGGACGTAGGAAGAAAAAGGAGCAGACAAAGAACATCTTTGAAATTCAGACAAGGATTAACAGTATAGAGAACGGTACAACGCATCGGCTTCTTTCTCTAATAATTTAATGAAACGTCACAGCGTCGCGCAGGAGGGGAGGGGGGGGGGGGGGGACTGAATTCAGACAAGGATTAAAAATCGAGAACGGTACAACGAATCATCTTCTTTCTCTCATAATCTTATGAAACGCCAAAGCTTCCGCGCTTCGCGCGGGAGGGGGGGAACCTGAATTCAGACGAGGATTCAGAGGCGAGAACGGTAATACGAATCTTAAATGGCTTAATGAAACGTAAAAGCTCCCGCGCTTAGCGCGGGATGGAGGGGGAACTAAATTCCGATGAGGATTATTTTCGAGAACGGTACAACGAATCGTCTTCTTTCTCTAATGATTTAATGAAAATTAAAAGCTTCCGCGCTTCGCGCGAGAGGGGGGAACCTGAATCTAGACGAGGATTAAGAGTCGAGAACTGAACAATGAATCGTCTTCTTTCTTTAATAGTTTAATGAAGCGTCAAAGCTTCCGCGCTTCGCGCAAGAGGGGGAGGGGGGAGACTGAATTAAGACAAGGATTAAGAGTCGAGAACGGTACAACGAATCGTCTTCTTTCTCTAATGATTTAATGAATCGTAAAAGCTTCCACGCTTCGCGCAGAAGGGGGAAAACTGAATTCAGACGAGGATTAAGAGTCGAGAACTGTACAACGAATCGTCTTGTTTTTCTAATGATTTAATGAAACTTAAAAGCTTCCGCGCTTCGCGCGGGAGGAGGGGGGGGGGGGGGAGGGAGAATCTAAATTCAGATGAGGATTATTTTCGAAAACGGTACAACGAATCGTCTTCTTTCTCTAATGATTTAAGGAAATTTAAAAGCTTCCGCGCTTTGCGCGGGAGGGGGGGGGGCGGGGAAACCCAAATTCAGACGAGGATTAAGAGGCGAGAACGGTAATACGAATCTTTAATGGCTTAATGAAACGTAAAAGCTTCCGCGCTTCGCGCGGGATGGAGGGGGAACTAAATTCCGATGAGAATTATTTTCGAGAACGGTACAACGAATCGTCTTCTTTCTCTAATGATTTAAGGAAATTTAAAAGCTTCCGCGCTTCGCGCGGGAAGGGGGGGGGGGGAACCTAAATTTAGACGAGGATTAAGAGGCGAGAACGGTAATACGAATCTTTAATGGCTTAATGAAACGTAAAAGCTTCCGCGCTTCGCGCAAGAGGGGGAGGGGGGAGACTGAATTTAGACAAGGATTAAGAGTCGAGAACGGTACAACGAATCGTCTTCTTTCTCTAATGATTTAATGAATCGTAAAAGCTTCCACGCTTCACGAGGAAGGGGGAAAACTGAATTCAGACGAGGATTAAGAGTCGAGAACTCGACAACGAATCGTCTTCTTTCTCTAATAGTTTAATAAATCGTAAATTTTTTCCGCGCTCCGCGCGGGAGGGGAAAAATTAAATTCAGACGAGAATTATTTTCGAGAATGGTACAACGAATCGTCTTCTTTCTCTAATAATTTAATAAAACGTCAAAGCTTCCGCGTTTCGCGGAGGAGGGAGGGGGGAAAATCGCCCCTCCCTGCACCGACCCCCCCCCCGCATTACGTCACTGTTGGTCACTATTACGTACCAATATTTGGCTCGCATAATTTCAAATTTGGGCCCCCCCCCCTAAGAAATCCTGGATCCGCGCCTGTGTGTTATCGCTTTTGTATGCCTGTGCTTACCACGTAAATGTACGCGCTTAGGGCAGTGCACTTTCAAGACCGTAGCACTGCACAATGCCAAGCCCTGCTGTGTAATTAACACTGCAATGATGTAATACAGGTCTTGAACAGTAGATGGCGCTCTTCCAAAAAAAAATCTGGCTTTTGATGTGTACAGTGTACAGTTTTTGTCAGGTTTTTGTACAGTACAAAAATGCTGTAGCACAGGGGGTATGAACGCGTTTTAAGCCAATAGCAGTCAAGTGGTAAATAACGAAGTGAAACAAACTATATCGACTGAACATCATGAAAGTAAGGATATTTTGGAAATGATATTGCGAGTAAATAAGTCGTTTTCTATCGCGCAATTGCCATTCATTAACACGTTACCCCCAAAACGCGTTTTTTTTTTTTTTTTTTTTTTTTTTTTTTGCAGCGGATTACCGCGCCATATTTGAACTAGCCTATAGGGAAATTATCATAATGACCGTGTTATCCAACCTAATCCCCCGTCTAATTCCTCAAATAAAAAAAATGAATTAAAGACCATCAAAACCAACCTTGAGTAGTGTTGAATGGACACATTCCTGTTGAATTCGCCCACGTACCGTTTTCACCCACCGGAAATTCGACTTCTTCAGACCGAGGAGATATCCATGAGATATTCTGGCAAATAGCTTCACAAAAAAGAGTGAATAAAAAGTATTAAGACAAAGCCCCCGATAACGTTTAATTCCACGTATGTTTATGAATTTTAAAATGAATTGCTGCAAACTGTGTAGGTATTCCTGTTTCCAAGAAATGTCCAATGCTAGGGAAGCAAAACGTGCAGCGAGAAGGCGACTAGTTTAATTCGTCAATGCGCCATGATTAAGACGGGAAGGTGAGAAGGTGAATCGTCAAAACACGTCAAGGCGCCATATGTTTAAGTGAGAAGCGAGAAGGGGTGTAATAACAACTTGCTAAAGCCCCTTCCACACTGGATCTGCGTAGAGTTGCGTAGTGTGGCGTACCGAGTACGCCGAAATTAGGCTGCGTATTCATGAAAAAAAAGTTGCTTCGGCGTAGTCCCTGCTTAGATTATGCGTAGACTTGCGTACAAAATGCGTACTTTCCGCGTCTAGTGTCAAAGCCGAAAGTACGCGAAAAAATAAATAAACATGTTTAATTTGTTTCGTTCCGTAGGCCATCGTAGGGCAGCGTAAGCTCGGCGTAGTCGGTACGTAACTCTACGTATGGCCCGGTGTGAAAGGGGCTTATTTAAAGGCGCCTTGTTAAAGCCGAGAAAGACGCCTTCTCGTCTTATACAAGGCGCCTTAGCTATTTTGAGCCACTCGCCTTCTTGTCTTCTCGGCCCTAAAGGTACCTCTTAACAATGTTAAATCTGAGATGCAAGGCCCTATCAGTGCTTGTGATATGGTGTAACATTGAAGCCCTAAAAAAAGCTTCAAAATGATCAAGAAGTGTCTCAAAAAATTAAAAATCTTTGAGTGACCGGTTTTACCATACTCGTTTCCCCCAAAACACTGTAGTGTTATGAAAACCGTTAGGAAAACGCAAAATTTGATTTCGATTTCCAATCATAAATATCTTGATAATCAGACAGGCGATCGGCTTGTAAAAGCCATGGGATTCCTGACCTACCTAAAGGTTTATAATTATCATTGCAGCATGAGCCAAATCCATTTTTTTGTCTGAATTTCAAAGAGAAAATCACATTTCTAGAAAGTTTATTTTCTGCTCTTCATATGACACCTCAATCAGGAAAAAAGAGCCAGGAATAACAAGGTTCTGTTTGTTTAAAGTCATACTTGCATTTCAAACACTGGTTGTTGCTACGGCAGGCAGCCTGTTTGAACGAATTCGGTTACTAAAATTATGGAAATGTATTACTTTAAACAAACAGAACAGTGATTTTCTTTTTAAAATTCAGGTACCGTTCGCTAAATTATACCTCCTGCGTTTGAAACTACCTACGTACCACACTATTAGGTGGCGTTTCCGGCATAGCCCTACCCCTTGCCCTCCGGAGGCCCATGTCAAATAAAATACTTTCATTAAGTAGTAACACAAATGCAGGATAAAATACGTTTTTCGCTTCACCTACCCGAATAAAATGCACAAGGCGTTTTCTCGTTTTTTCAACGATCGGTTCATATTATCAAATATTTGTGGGGCCCCACAAATATAAGAAATGTTTTAATGTCTATGGATATTTCAGCCGTCTCCAAACCGATTTTTATCAATTATGATCTTGTCATTTAAATTGTATCCTCTTTTAAATTTGACACTCAGTTTTTCATTATCTCACCTAAAAATTATTTTCTATAGTGCCCTCTATACCGAAATTCAATTTTCCCTTTAACATATGTTACAATAGATGTCCATACCTGTACTACACGAAACACCATCAAAACCGGCTGCACATGTACATGCATCGTTCTCACAGGTACCTCCGTTCTGACATGGGTTGCTCCCAGAACAATCAACTTCACAAAGGAGAAGAAATGTCCGTAAATTCATGACTAAATCTGTACATCCACCATTCTCGATGGAACCGTACCAAAAGCTTGGAATTTAAAATTGGTTTACTTAAGGTTCTTAAAGTAGAAAGAAGGTAGACTTTTCCCCCTCTGTATGGATTTTTTTTTTTTTTTTTTTGGGGGGGGGGGGTTAAAAGGATGATCTTTAAATTTATGAAGAGGTTAAAGTCGCAATTTGAGCATAACATAGCATTAATCTTTTAATCAATTCGTACGTAACCATTAACTTTCTTTAAACCAAAATATTATTTAACGAAAACGATGAATCCCGATCAAACTTAGCGTATGTAGCAATAGATAACCTGTACTACACAAAACACCACTAAAACCCGTGGCACATGTATATGCGTTGTTCTCACAGGTATCTCCGTTTTGACATGGGTTGTTCCGATAAAACTACACAGCACAGAGGAGAGGAAATGTCCTTAATTTCAAGATGAATCTTTACATTTAACCCCCGAAAATTATGCTTTCATGAAACAAGCTTATTATCAGGGTGGACTTCCCCTTTAATGAACGGGAGGCCGGACTAATTTTCGGCGGGAATATATTTGTCCTAGAGGGTGCTTGTCCTTGGTTGTCCTTAGGGCATATATGTCCGATATGTTAATGGGGTAGTTGTCCTCCGGGGTAGTCGTTCACGGGGGGGGGGGGTTACTGTTGAAGGGAAGGGGAGGTGGGTAATTTTTAAAGATGCAGATAATTAAAGCAATATGGAATTCAGTATGGCTATAATAATTTGATTTGGAGTAAAAGCAAAGCCATATATTTAATGGTTCCATCCAGCTTAAACATACCGTCCACGGGTGGGGGTAATTGTCCTTTAGGGTTGGTTGTCATCGAGGAGGGGGGATAATTATCCGGGGGGTAATTGTTCTAATACGGTGCCCCAAGGATGGCGGCATTTAGGATAAAGACAGAAATTAGTGATATTTTTCTGCACGACAAAGGGGAGAGTTATCCGCGACTACGTTACACTACACTGAATTTCCAATCTGAGATTCGCATACATGTATTAAGCAGGGCTCCCACTTAGCCGAGTTAAGGTGGGTTGTGGTGAGTTGCCTCAAAGAGGCACTCGCAATAACTCGCGAAAGCTCTTCCTGTAAACTCGGGATAACTCGCGACAACTCGGTATGGCTCTGCGTAACTCTTTACAACATTCCACGACTCTCCTTGAAGTCGCGAGCAGTTCCAAAATTGTGAACATGTTCAACATTTTTACTCATTCGTTGTAACTCGAGGTGAACTCACTTACACTCGTAATATACTCGCATTACTCGTGACATGCTCGCGATGCACTCTTCATAAGGTGGCGAGTTGCTACGAGTTATGAAGAGTGCAGCGCGAGCTTGTTACGAGTAATGCGAGTATATTACGAGTGTAGGCGCCGTTCACCTTGAGATTTGATTTTGAAAATGTTCCAAATTTTGGAACTGCTCGCAACTTTGAGGAGAGTCGTGGAATGTTGTAGAGAGTTACACTAAGCCATACCGCATTGCTGCGAGTTATCCCGAGTTACAAGAAGAGCGAGTGCCTCTTTGAGGCAACTCACCACAACTCGCCATAACTCGGTTATACAACTCGGCTAAGTGGGAGCCCTGCTCCATGCTCTCATATTTCAAACCTTCATAACTTTCCTATTATTATTCCGATTCATTTCAAACGTTTGCCATTCTGTTTCTCTATCTTTTTCTGCTTTATTAAAATATTAAAATGGATTTATAACAAGGGTTTGATTGCCCTATAAGATCAATTTAAAGGCTTGATGAAACACCCCCAAAGTAATTGCAAGGGTGAACAGAGTCTACAGTTGAATAGATCGTTTATGGACCTACTTCTTCGCTGACTAGCACACGACACTTCAATCTCCTTGTATGGTGGGTCAGAACTTGGAGCGATGCACGTTTTTGGTTGCAGACCAAAACCTGCATTGTACAGGTAAGCGATACTGCCTCCAACTCCGTAAACTAGAGCGGTGAATACTGTCTCTCCTGCACCTGTTACTTGCGTAGCTGATTCGCTTTTCAGCACGTGACTACCTTCCTCTATGGTCACCCAACGACTACAAATCAGTCTGTTATCACTGGTGACGAGATCGTACTCAAAGAGCCATGGTACCTATTAGTTGAGTAAATATGAAAAACAACAACTTAAAACAATACGGGAAAGATTCAAAGGTGAAATAATCTTCAGTTATTCATGATCGCTTTTTAATCGAAATGTATAGGTAGAAAAGGAGCAAACATGCAGACTGAAAAAGATGTATTTATTGATTTTCTTTTTAATAAAGGGAGGAGGAAATTTGTACGAGCAATTAAAACATACATGCTCGTAACGAGGAAATGTAATCAGGGTACTAGCGGTTATACTAGTGGGCTTTCGTTTTGGGCGGCGACGGGGCCTGCGACGGTAAAAAAAAATGCGACTGTATCGTCGGACATGCGAAGTTTCGTTTTTCACAACTGCACCGAACTGGCCAATTTGATCACGCGATCACCAACTTGACCACCTGACATGCGTGATCATTTCGATCTTGGTCAATTTTGGTCAAAAATCAAGTTTGCCTCCGAGAAAGTCATTCGTACATGGGCCCTACAACAAATGCGACGGTAAAAACACTTCGAAAACCGTCGTAAATTTTCGATGACCGACGAACCTCCAGTTACGAGCATGCGCAGACAGGTTCAATACCTAACTTTGCCGTCGTAGGCTCCGTCGTCGCCAAAAACGAAAGCATATTCATACCTCAGTCACACCGCCGAATCTACTCCAATCGACCGATGCGTGGCCATTCTTTGTAAAGTGAACTTTGTTCGGTATACATTATTGACGGTCTGGTGTTGGTTGATCTCGTCGGTGTGCCTGGAGTGGTAGTCCTAAATGATTTGGACAATAGCTTTCTAACTAACTTTCCTGTTCCTCTGCAGAAACAATATAGAATTGAACTAATATTGGACTAAACCAGACTTAAATCTTACCTCGTTGTACTTGTACTTGTCGAACTCGATGTTATGAGTCGCATTGCATTCAGATATCACACCGATATAGACTGCGGAGATCCCTGCTGCGGAAAAGTCTGACACAGGAAATTCTACACGCGATACATATTGCTCCCAAGGAGTCACTAACAGCATGGCTGGATCCCCCTGCCTATAGTCTGAGTTCGTACCTTTCGAGTACTGCATCACCATGACTGGTTTGGTCGCTGATATTGAGGTCATGCTCTGATTGGCTATATCTCCTAGATAGTGCTCCCCCATGTTCAAGTCTCTTTCATAATTTCCCAATGATACTCTTGTATTGTTTCTCCCGGCAACAACTTGGAATTGATATCCGGACAGTCGATTGGCGAACGGACTTAGTAAAAATAAACGTCCCCAGCGATCAAATGAAACTAGCTGTTCGGCGATATGATCGCAAGCTGGTATTCCATCAGGAATGTTTGGACAAATGCCACCGATAATCACTACAATCGACGTATTGCCAGTAATTCTTGTTCCAATGATGTCGTCGTGCAGTACTTCAAGTTTTAATGTTTCATATGGTCTCAAGCTACATATAATAACACTTCCCGGTGAATGCCATTCACCACGAAATTCCACTCTACCGGTCAATTCTATTTTAACTTCAGTCGGTTCATTAATTGCAGACAATAGAACGACACCCCCTCTTGGTTCCGTAAGGGTCGCGATAAAGTATTCCTTACCTATATACTTGATCGGTAACAATGTGAACATTGCCATGCTAAAAGTTTTGATATTGTAAGCCGTCACTGAGACATCTTGATCGGACCTCACCACAACCGTAGCGTTCGTTACACTTCCTACTCCAGTCGTCGTAAGGTCAGGAGGAAGCACGAGATCATAGGGTGCTGATCCGGGTTCAAGTGTGAAATTGAAACCCAAACTCCTCAACGGCACATTGACCTTAACGGAAGTGACGTTGGTTGAAATGGCCTCCACAACGATGCCAATCGTAGGTTGGGTCTGTCCTTCAACGAAATTCGGCGGGAAGCCGAACACGAATTCTCTACCGAGATTGTCGGCTCCAAACGGTGCTACAGGTACAAATTTGTATTCGAAATGAGAAGGAATGATCAATGAGGTGTCATTAATATGGTAGCCATCGATCAAGAATGTGGGACAGTTGAGAATAATCACCTTTATCGCATGAAACCGTAATGTAAACCCAAATTCAGTGTAATCTATAATCTACACAATCTCAATCATTCAAAGGTCATCGAATGTTTTTCTAGGCAAGTATACGCAAATACGGATATTTAGTGTTGTCACTAAACTGCCAAAAAACAAATGTCATTTTCCTGAACTGTCGCGGAATACGGGACATGGAATGTCCTGTGTTCGTCTCGACTTATTTCATCGGGATAACTTTAGAGAGGACCATTTGGACGCCCAGCACAGGGGCATCTACCATCTCGCACCAAGACAGCTTTAACCCCTTACAATCAATGATCCCTGAATAGATACATCCGAACAACCACCTCTAGGTCAATAAACCTCCCTCCAACACCTACCCATGAGCCAATTAGCATTCATAGATATCTAAATCCTCTCACAGGTACCATATCCCCTGACTGAAACTTCACCTACGAATTAGTACGGATAGGGGTGTCCTCGTGTAGATATTTGTCTAGGAGAAATTGTCCCAGAATCATATGCAGTATAATAGGATTTTATTGAAATCAAAACATCAAAAACCAAGAGCAAACAGTCCAAAGACTGACAACTGTCTTGGGTACAAAAATAAAATTTAAATCAAATATACATAATAAAATAGCAGTAATTAATAAATACATAAGTTACATAAGTTACAATATCAAATAACTAAACTATTATCAGTAAATATTGCAAAAAGGACATATAAACGAATAAGTATACATCATTACAATTACATCAAAAAAGGGCTCTCGAACTGTGCAATAACTAAATCAGGCACAGACCGAGAGTCCAATAAAAAGAAGATTAAAATGCATAAGACTGGGTTTAAAAAGATCAATAGTAAAAAGAGGGGAATATGTCAGCTAAAGAATAATTTTTTAAATTTAAAGTATTGAGAAAGTACAAGTAACATACAGTAAAGAAATTCCCTAAAGAGTGTATAGAGAAAGAAAAGAGTAAGATAGAGGGAGAGAGGGAAGAAAAGAAAAGGAGAAAGAGAGAGAGAGAGAGAGAGAGAGAGAGAGAGAGGGAAGGGGATAGGAAGGAAGTCAGGGAAATATCAATACCAACTGTAGACTCGGTAAAAACAGACCAAGTATCCAAACAATGATTATAGACATTGTAATTAATCTGAAATACATGAAACATACAATAAAGAAATTCCCAAGAGAGCATAGAGAAAGAAAAGAGTAAGATAGAGGGAGAGAGGGAAGGAAAGAAAAGGTGAAAGAGAGAGAGAGAGAGAGAGAGAGAGAAGGAAGGGGATATGAAGAAAGTTAGGGAAATATCAATACCAACTGTACACTCTGTAAAAACAGACCAAGTATCCAAACATTATAGACATCATTGCAATTAACCTGAAATACATGAAACATACAATAAAGAAATTCCCAAGAGAGCATAGAGAAAGAAAAGAGTAAGATAGAGGGAGAGAGGGAGAGAGGGAAGAACAGGTGAAAGAGAGAGAGAGAGAGAGAGAGAGAAGGAAGGGGATAGGAAGGACGGTTAGGGGAATATCAATACTAACTGTAGACTCGGTAAAAACAGCCCAAGTATTCAAACATTATAGACATTGTAATTGATCTGAAATACATGTAACATACAATAAAGAAATTCCCAAAAGAGCAAAGAGAAAGAAAAGAGTAAGATAGAGGGAGAGAGGGAAGAAAAGAAAAGGAGAAAGAGAGAGAGAGAGAGACAGAGAAAGACAGAGAGAGAAGGAAGGGGATAGGAAGGAAGTTAGGGAAATATCAATAAGATCTGTAGACTCTGTAAAATCAGAACAAGTTTCTAAACATTGTGGACATTATTGCAGGAATTATGAAATACATGTACATTAAGGAAAAAGAAACATGTGTAATCTACCAAAGAAGAATGGAAAAAGAAGGAGGAGGAAAAGAGAAGAATTTGAGAAAGAGAGGGGAAAACACAAGAAAGGAAATTAGAAATTGATAGATTTACACAAGTTTCATCATGTTGATTACCTTCACTGCCTGTGGTATAAAAGAATTTTGGTATCTGGAAGTACGGCATGTTGGTTGGCAAAGGGGGGTCACTGTTTCTTAACTGGCGAAAATTTGGTAAGGAGTCCCTACGTGGAGGGAGCATGGAAGAATGTCTGGATTGCAAGAATGATTTAACAAGATTTATGAACTGTAAGAATCTGTAAAATTTGAAGGGCGTGAAGGTAATCAACATAATTATATCCCAAAATGATACGGCATGATCTTTTTTGGACTCGTTCGATCTTGTTCGACTGATTGGCAGTAATAGATGATGACCACACTGGGGAGGCATATTCAACTAACGGTCTAATGTACATACTATAAATAGCAACTAAATCCTCTAGTGGAGCTTTGTGTTTTTTAAGAACACAAAGGATGTAAAAACGTCGGGATGCTTGTTTGACAGCATTCTCGACTTGTCTATCCCATTTCATATCAGACTGTAAGTGCACTCCCAATAACTTAACAAACTCAGTAGGCTGAAGGACAGAGTTACTGATGCTAACTTCGGGCATAACAATCTGGTTCCGAAGGAAAGAGATATGCAATACCTTACACTTTTCAGGCTAAGGGGTCATCTGATTATCAACAGAACACTCAGAGATCAAAGATAAATGATCTTGCAATACGGAGGGTTGAGATTTGTGTCTGATTTCAGCGACACTCAAATCATCAACATATTTCCATCTCAGAGGAGTAGAGGTTGCAACATCATTTATCATGATTAAGAAAAGAATGGGACCGAGCCTCGTACCTTGCGGTACTCCACATGTAACAGGCAGGGGTCCACTAAAGGTAGATCCTAAACGTACACAGTGAGATCTATTCTCCAAGTAGCTACACAAGAGAAGGATAGTATTTGGATCAGTACCTAACTCAAACAACTTCTCAATCAGCACATTGTGATTGATGTGATCAAATGCCTTAGCATAATCAATAGTACAGACTGAGGCAACATAACCAGGTTTGTCAAGACCTTTCAAGATCGAATCGATCATACTTATTAAGTAATGAGAGGTTGATGATCCTTTCATATTACCAAACTGTTGACTATCAATTTTGCTCATAATGTCCTGATATAACCATTTAGTGAGAAATGCTTCAAAAACCTTTGCAAAGGTAGGGGTGAGTGATATTGGTCTTAGTTGGTTAACAGTATTACATGGTGTACTCTTAGGGATTGGAACAATGTCTGAAACCTTCCAACAATCCGGAAAATTCCCTGTTTCTAAACATTTATTAAAAAACGTTTCTAAACATTTATCAAAAATCATGCAGTCACTATGAGGTGTGGGCAGATGGTTTTCAAATGTGTAGAAAAATTGTCCAAATAAAAACGAATGTAAATATCAGAAGTGTATTAGGTTACCATCAGTCGAGATAAACGGACAATCGGAACATGGAACCAAATGTATCGAAATCAGGAGGTTATTATTAATTTATTTTTGTTATATCTTGCCTCCTTTCTTAAACCGATGTCTTTCCTATTGTATTAATTATATCCCGCATTAAATATGTATTGGATTTTGATTGGTTGAGATCTCTTCAGAAAAGTGACCAGAAATATTTCAACCATTTAAGGTTGCTCTGAAAAAAGTTTTATTTGGGAGTAGTTTTTCGAATTTCATTAAAATTGTAAATTATGAAAATTTGATAATTTGGTTAAATTTAATACATATTATGACAATTTTAAATCTTTAAAATGTATCAAAATAAAATATATAATATATCCATTCAACCCGCAGCACATGTAGATGCATAGTGAAATTAACTTACCGTAAATTAATATCACATCCATGTACCAAATATCAATCTAGGCCTGTACAAATTGATAAAAAGATAAAATCGTAACCTGTATACGTTTATTCAATGTTACTTACCCCCAACTGCAATGTGGATGAAGGATGTCATCCAAAGAAAGAGGAGAAGCTGGACAACTGAGTGAGTCTTTCCGAAAAACTTCGTCATTTTTATTCCGTTCATGCCACTAGGCTTTGAATTAAAAAACGATGATGTAATACGATATTATACAAATTATAATATACATGATATGGGATAAAAGATCTTTCATAAGATGTATTATTAGTATTAAAGAAAAGGGGCTCGAGTGAGTACGAATAGATACATTGCAAATTGTTCGTATTGCTCTTTTTTGAACAACCACGATTTTTTCCAGCTGAAGTTTCAATGAAATACCCCAGACAAGAATACCACAGTTCAAGTAAGGCAACATTAAATTAGAGTGCAACATCTGCAATACATATGATGGGAACATAGGTTTCAGTTTGTACATCATTCTTGGGAGTAATGAACACAAATAATTGTATGTATTTTCCAGGACATTCTATCATCAATAAACAGTCCAAGAAACTTGGTCGATTTTACTTTCTTAATTTTGACATTGTTGAAATAGATATCTCCAGGTAAATCGGAAATAGAATTGCTAAATAATATGAAATTAGTTTTATCCAAGTTCAGTGACAGTCTATTCGCAAAAAGCCACTGTTCAATATTCTCAAGGGTAGTTTAAACACTTGAAAATACCCCAGAAAAATTCGGTTTTTAACCAGGTCTTTCCACACACAACACCACCCCCCCCCCCTCCGCCATACCTGGATATTTATGTATCACGCGATAACAATGAGACAGCTAGTGCATACGACTCGGGTATTATACAATGTATTATGTATATAGAAGTCGCAGTAATTTGAGACTTTGCACCCTAAGCAAATTTGCCAACAAACTGCATAGGAATAGAAAGCTGCCACATGGGCAATGGAATATCAACAATCTTGATCTACAACCATGTTTACACATGAGAAGTAGATTGCAATCTCGACAGACAATAAATGAAGCACTTTGGTAGCTCTGATTTGTCTGAACTTTCAAGGAAAATTTTGAGTTTTGTTTACTTTTAGTTTGAAGAAAAGCTGTATTGCTAAAAAAAAAATATTGAAATATCTCATCATGGTAGGCGTACTTTCAAACTAAGTTCCATGAACACCGAGAAAAGTCAGATATCTGAACTATACCCGAAGTAATTATTATTTCAAATTTAATCTTTTTCGCATTGATAAGATCTAATTATTCCACAAGTCTACTGCAATAATTAAGCTAGGAGGAGCAAGCTTCTCAGTTAATACTATGATAAATCCAACGTGGCTACTTCTCCTTTTGTTGAGTTGAATGACTTATTTGGCTTTGCAAATCGTTTAGTGTTCAAGTAACCTTAATATTTAAGGGTATGCGAGTACTTATCTTTTATCTTGATGACATCTATATTCTTCACATGCAAGAATAATGTATTGAATGTGTAGTCACAAAGGACTTATCTACAAAAAAAGAAAAATAACTTAAAATTCCAGACTGGGTTCCGCATTACAAATGACCTGTAGCCCATCAAAGTTCCTGAAAGTTGAAGGACATTCAAACACGATACGAATGCGATCCCAACTTTACCATGAATTTGATTTTTTGAGAGCGAGTGAGTTTATTGCTTATTTTTGTGTCCATAAACCACGCTTTCACAGCGTTCATATTATAAAATACATTTTCCGTAATTCTGGAGCACAAAATACAAATATCTGCTACCATCAAAGGGTTCTTGGGTACGATATGTAAGGTGCCCATTATGTAAAATAAAGGTTCAACAGTTCAATGCGAATGGCTTCTTTGCCACTTCCCAGTGGAATTCCAGATTGCAATATCACAACCCTTATTAACAATGCAACTTTCATGTCATACAAATAAACCGTTAGATGTCGAAGACAGTCGTTTACCTATGGCGCTTGTCCGCTTATTCATCATTGGTAACGTATTTCAATTGAATCATCAGCAATACAACTTTGTTGTTTCTTTGCGGTAAATTTGTTACGACAAACATAACCATGACAACGTAATCTGAATATGATCTAAAGTTCTGTACATGATTTAATTGGATGGCAATGTACATTTGCAGATTTACTTGTTCGCCTTATGTTCTATAAAAAGGCACGTTATTTGTTTCAGTTTTGTTGACGTAAAAGCTTTTGACCTCATAATGGCATCGTCACTCGTGTGCAGCAGATTTATTCCGCAGAAAGCGAAACGACTTCCTTCTTTCCCAAGGTCTCTTGTAGTAAAACAAATATTTTAAACGTCAAAGCAAATTATGTAAAACAAATTTTGGCTTAATTGTATGCTGTATTAATATACACAGGTGCCTTTTGTGCATCAGTATTAGATGCGACAGTTTTCATTATCTGATATGGCCAATACTCCCGATTATGTCATGTTTATTGGTGTTTCTTTATCATGTACACTTTGATATATGCTCTACATTTCCCATTACTCCAATATTACTGTGATTATCTCAAAATGTATCGCCCTTCTGAATTACTTAATAATTTATCAATCATCCTACAGAGAAGCTCCTACTAAAAAGGGGGAAAGGAGCTCCTTGCAGCTTTTCACCAACGCCTAAATTGATAAATTAAACGTCTAGCTGTTTGGTCGTCTTCCAACAACAACCATGACGATGACAATGGTGCTCGATCGAACACAAATTCAAGGTTATCGAAACTTTACAGCTGTAAGGTACCATCAAGCGAAAATGACAGACCAGAGTTGTTTGTTCCAAATTGCTGCTTGGTTTTAACAAACCTTTTAAGTACATGTATCATTATTATTTTATATGCCATCCAGGCTCCATTTGTAAATTGAATTAAACAAAAACAACAAAAAGCAACAACACATAAAGCCGTGTGTGCCAGTATACAGTGTTATCTGTGTAACACTGCATTTGCTTCCCAATGATTTGCTCATTTTTACACCCACGACTACTAGATCCAACGGATTCTGTAAAGAAATATCAGTTCCCAAAATCCATACTATAATGTATTTGGAGGTCGGATAACAGGTATTTTTACAGTTAATATTAATTTTGTTTTAAATAATTGTAGTGTGCCTAAGTGGGCGTCAAGACGTTTAACTTCATCTTGTACTGTTCTCATGGATTTGACGACAAGACAGGCATATACCTGCATTAGT